CATGGCAATGAAACAATATATGATAGGATGAATGTAAAACTAGTGTTCTCCCATGTAAACTATCACATAATTCACAATAAAAAAATTTAAAAAAAGATATAGACAAGAAAACAAAATGAAAAAAAGATACATAATGTTATCTAATTTCCCATGTACAGTTCAGTGACATTGTCCACATTTTTCAAATTGTGTAACCATTCTCAAGCTCTCCTTTCTCAACATATTCTACCATCATTTGCATATAAAATGTGCCCTAAGCTTTTCATTTTATCTTTCAAGATGCTATTGTCAATTTGATTGGACAAAAGTTAAAAAGTTAGTCTGAAAAATCACAATGCTCAAGGCAGACACACTTAAACTAAATTGTGGCTTGGTTTGAAGCAGACTTCCAAGGAAAGTTTTGGTTTAAGGTTCAAGGTTTTAACATTTTGTTTTGATTTCCTTTTTTCACAGTTTCTGGTTTTTCCAGGAGCAATTTTCACCACTAAGAATAGAGAAACATGCATATTCTAGGGGAAAAAAAGTTTATCAAATGAAAAATCACCAACATAGTTTGCATTTTCTTTTCTCAATATCCTTGGTGAGTCCTGGACTTAGGGAGTATGAAAGTAGGGCAATTTCTTCATGCTTGTCTCTGAGGAGCAGTCAGCAGAATACTCCAGAGGCCCAGAGCCTATAAATACTTCTGCCACAATTTTCACAAAGAACACCTAACATCCACCACTGAAATATTGGTTGCTACTTTCTATCCAGCTCAATGTAACCTGAAACCCTGGATTCTTACACTTCTTGGTATGATAGGCTGAGAAGTGCCCTGGATGCCTGAGGAGTGGTGTTCTGACATCAATAGGGAGAACTGCAGGAACAGGATGGGTTCTTTTGTTTGGACCAGATAAATATGGTGAGTTCTGCAAGGAAGGGACAGTGTTATGCTTTCTCATCTAGTTCCACCAAAACCTCTGCCTCTTGCCTCCCAGATCTTTCTGAGATGAGCAGCGGGAGACTCTGCCTTTTAGAGTGATTCACCTATGTCTGCTTTTGTACAGAGAGAAGTTTGTCATGCAAGGTTATTTTATAAGGCTGAGACTTGTCTTCAGAGTCCCAATTTATACTACTATTTTCTATTATCTTGTGCAAGTAACTTAATTTTCCTAAGCACTGAAAGCTCATCTGTGAAATGTGTATAACAATATCTGTGAGTAGTCCATTAGTTACTGCATTGTTTAGTGCCAATGGGTCAATAAATGCCATCTTTTCTTGCCTGTGCTAGATGAGCTGAGGACCTGGTATGTGGCTCTTAGTGGATATGTAGCAAGGATGGAAATAATGTGGAGCTGACCTCTCCCACAAGTTCCCATCACCTTGCTTTTACACTTTCATCTCTCTGCTCACCCTTCCCAGAAGGACTAGGAAACAAACTGGTAGATCTGGGAGGCAGGGTCCATTGACCTGGAATTTAGGAGACATGTAAATAGCATGGGGATTGAATCCATTAGCAAGGACCAGAAGTATTACCCTTTCTATAGTGGTTTTTTTTTTTTTTTTTTTTTTTAACATGTCTCTCTTCTCTCCTTTCACAGAGTGATGACATGGATAAAAACAACCAATCTTGTGTCTCTGAATTCTTCCTCTTGGGTCTTTCTGAGAGACTAGACCAACAACCTCTTCTATTTGGCATTTTCCTTGGCATGTACCTGGTCACTATTGTGGGTAACTCACTGATCATCTTGGCCATTGGCTTTGATCTGCACCTCCACACCCCCATGTACTTCTTTCTGTCCAATCTCTCTTTTACTGATGTCTGCTTTTCCTCTACCACAGTCCCTAAGATGCTGGTGAACATCCAGACACATAGTCAGATTATACTCTATGAGGGGTGTTTGGCCCAGATGTATTTTTTCATGACATTTGGGGCCCTGGATGACTTCCTTTTGGGGGTGATGGCCTATGACCGTTATGTGGCCATCTGTAGGCCTCTTCACTACACCACACTCATGAGCCCTCTTGTGTGTATGCTCCTTCTTGCACTTTGCTGGCTTCTCACCATTCTTGCCGCTCTTTTACATACCCTTCTTATGGCTAGGTTATCTTTCTGTGCAGGCAACACTATTAATCCCTTTTTCTGTGATGTGGTCCCTCTGCTGCAGCTCTCCTGCTCAGATACAAGCACCAACCAAGTAGCTCTATTCATGGTGGGCTCCATGATACTCACTGGTCCCCTCTCACTGATCATCCTGTCATATGCACATATCATCTCCACCATCCTCAGGGTCCCATCTGTCTCTGGCAGACAAAAGGCCTTCTCCACCTGTGGATCTCACCTCACTGTTGTCTTGCTATTCTATGGTGCAGCAATTGGAGTGTACCTGTGCCCCTCTTCTTCACATTCTGGGGGAAAAGATAGAATTGCCGCTGTTTTCTACACAGTAGTGACCCCCATGTTGAACCCCTTCATCTACAGCCTTAGGAACAAAGATATGAAGACAGTACTGAGAAAACTTATCGGCCTGAACACACTTTCTTCTCCAGGGCTTTAACTTTGTGTCCAGGTTACACGCAGGAAAACCCTTTCATGAATTAATAGCCCTCCCTTCAATCTTATATACTTATATATTTGTTGTTGTGCTGTCGAGTCAGTTCTGACTCATAACGACCATTTATAGCTTTCTGAGGAGCAGCTGTTGGACTTGGACTGCTGACATTGTGGTTTGCAGTTCAGTGCTGATCCTACAGCGCCACTAGCTATTAGGGAAGAATTCTTTAAAAATAATTTTCTTAAACTTCAAATCAGACTATGCATATGTTCAGTGTACCTTTGTAAACATATAAAAAAAAAACTTTACTGCATATACATTTTACAAATATTTCTTTTATGTTTGAAAGGTATCTCTACTTTTCTATGGTGTGATGGTTAAGGTTGATTCTCAGTGGTTTTCCAGTTATGCTGTAGTCAGCCCCCAGTGATAAGATCTGATATAATGCAATCACTTCCATGGTAAGATCTGCTATGAACTGTCAATCAATTGAAAGGGAAATTCCTCCGGGCGTGGCCTGCTCCAAAATATATGGGCATTCTGGTAAAGCTTTTTTGCTTGTTGCTGGATCTGGATCCCATATCTGGCTTGTCATTATCTGGCCTCTAATTCTTTGTACTTGGGCCAGTTGCCTGCTGTATTACCTGTCAATCCTGGAGGTGGTTAGCTTTAGGAGCCTGTGAGTCAACAACCTTTCATCTTACCTGTGGCCTTAGACTCATTTGCCTTCACGGATATGCAGGTCTGGAGTTTGTCAGCCCCTGCAGCCACGTCAATCCGGAGATGCTTTCAGTCTGACAGCTGACTCATGCACTTGAAACTTGCCAGCTTCTACAATTTTGCAAGCCATTTTCTTGAGATAAATCTCTTTTGTTTATACATATAAAAGCTTCACAGTTTTTGCTTCTCTAGAAAACCCAGACTAAGACATGGTAAGACCAATTACAATTTAATTTGGTTGTAGAAAATCTAATGAAAATTAATAACATTGAAAAATATTATTCAGTAGTCATTTATTTATTTTTACCTTTTTCCAGACATTGTGTTAGGCATGGGAGATACTGCAATAAAGAAACCTCTGCATTTATTTAACTCACTTTCTATGCAATAAGTTGTTGTAAACAAAAGTAAGTTTTCATAAAACAGGTCTGGTTATGATGATATTGCATAAAAGTTAAGATTTATTTTAATCCATATGTTTTGCTATTTATATGTATTAACTCATTTGGCTCCCAGTGTTTAATGTCTTGATGTAGGAAGTATTGTTTCACATTTTAGAGATGGAGAAACTCTGGTTGTTAAGAATTTGTTCAGTATCAATGTTTGTAATGAGACAAATTAATTTTCAACAAACATATATATGTAGATGCTCATCAAGTTCCAGGTACTGTGATATGCCTATTGATAAATGTTAAAATTGGTCCTGTTTTAAGATGACAAAGGAAGACAGACACATAGTCAATTTAGAGGTATTCTCGTCAGACTGTGGTAGTTGTCATAATAAGGACTGGAGTACAGAGGGAAGAAAATAATTCTTCTTAGAGATGGTCATTTCATTTTCCAAGAACATTTTATTGATCCCCAAAATAAGTCTTTGAAAGGGTGAAGGGTTTTGTAGGGACAGGCTACTTGGCAATATAAACTATATACTGTTCTGTGGAGTCAGTCCAGTCTAACCTTGGAAATGGGTTCTTAATGTTACTCAATGAGAAGGGCTTCCACTAGCACCTTATGGTCAGTGTCCACGAAATCTTTTGTTTAATTCTGTTTCTGTTCATCTCCATCTCTTCTTCTAGATGTCAATGTTTTTCCAATTAAGAAAGTAAAACAAAAATACTGATAACTCAAGTCCCACTCCACAACTCTCTGAAGATGAAACTCTAGTATCTTTACTTAAAGAAATTCTCTCCAAGAAATTCTAGGGTGCAGCTGGAGCTGATAAATACTGCTGTGGGGTTTTCTTACAGTGACAAATGGACAGACGAAGCAGTGCAAATATATGAGCAACTCATTTGCCTTTTAACTGAAGACACTAGAATCAATTTGGGAGAGAGAGAAAAAAAGCAATCAGCCAGGGTGGGATAGAGCAGATGAGTAGCACCAAGATGTTTCTGAACACTGACCTCAGGTTAACACTACCATAGACACAAAGCCATTGTTATTGAATTAATTCTATCTCATAACAGTCCCGTAAAACTTCTCCATAGGCTAGCACTCGACCATAAGGTTGGTTTGAACCACAGAGTCAGCGATTCAACTCACCAGCCATTCCTTGGAAACCCTATATGGGGTTGCTATGAGTTAGAGTCAACTCGACAGTATTTAACAAAAACAATCTTTACAGAAGCAGACTGCCACATCTTTCTCCTTTGGAGTGGCAGGTAGGTTCAAATCACTGACCTTTTTTTTGGTTAGCAGCTGAAGGCTTTCAAAACTGTGCCACCAGGGCTCCTTAACTCTCTCTTGATGTTGTTAAGTGTTGTCGAGTCGGTTCTGACTCCTAGTGACCCAGTACAGGGTTCCTGAGAAGCAGCTGGAGAGTTTGAACTGCCTATATTTCGGTTAGCAGTCTAGTGCTGATTCTACAATGTCACACCAGGACTCCAACTATCTGTTATATTAAATTCAAATTCTTACTGTCTGCTGTAATCCCCCATCTCCTCATTAATTTAGTGCTGTAGGTCAGCTTTAATACCTTTCTTTCCTTCATGAAGCTAGAAGAGGAAGTCATGTGCTTTCCCTACCGTGACATTTTTAACAGGGTGAGTATGAGACAGGGTCTGAGAATCAGACTATGGCTGGGTTGAGTTAGTCCCTGGCAAAGAATGCTCTCCTTAGTTTCCTTAATCCTAACTTCTCATGATTTCCCAGGAACATCTCAAGCTATGAATATTTCTAGACAATTACAATAAAACCATCCTATCCGTGTAACCTCCCTCATCTACTTTCTATTAGAGGACCATAACTGGCAACTGTTTTCATTGGAAATGAATTCAATTGGACTAATTGCTTCCTTGAGTTTATGTTCTTCATTTTTCTTTGATCCATACAAGGATCAAAGACCACTTACAAGCTTTTAGGATCCTAGTCACTACTTACCAATGTAGGGTGTAGAACATTGTCTTTATGGATTGTTATGCCTATTGATTTAGAGTGTTGGTGTGGGTTAATGTACTGTGGTTAACACTGTGGGTTAATGTACTGGACTGCAAAGTCGGCAGTTCAAGCTCACCGGCTGTTCCTCGGAAACCCTATACAGAGTCTACTCTGGGTTGGAACTGATTTGATGGAACTTAACAACAACAACATTGATCTAGATGATCCAGTCCCCAAACCCAGCACTTCATTCTTTCAAAGTGTTTGGTTATGGGTAAATTTTCAGTACTTTGTCCCTTGTATACTCTAAAATATCCTTACATATGTTCGTAGCAAATATACATGTGTAGAAATATCCTTTGACAAATGTTAATTGTGTTTCTAAAGCCTAATCTTATGTAGTGGACCCTGAAGTTCTTTCCTGACGCTGACCACTTTTTGAGTAGCAACTGTACCTAGACTTCCCATTGATGGACTTTTTCATTATCCTAGTCAACTCTGAGGAGCCCAACTCCTGGCTAAAAAACCCACTTGTGAACTTTGAGGATTAACATAGACATTTATAAAGACTTTACTTGGTAGGCCACAGAGGAAAGCTGCCCTCCTTAAACAGACTTGCTGTTGTTAGGTGCCATTGAGTCAGTTCTCACTGATAGTGACTTTAAGTACAACAGAATAAGACATTGGCAGGTCCTGCACCATCCTCACAATTGTTATTATGCTTGAGTCCACTGCTGATGTCACTGTGTTAATACATATTACTGAGGCTTGAGAAAACTGTGTGGGAGCCATATCTGACTTCCTCTGGCTTCACAAGGGAGAAAGAGAATCCAATTGAAAATCAGTACAAGGCTGATTCCTATGAAGTGAAGGTCAGACATGACTCCACCATACAACCTTCTTTACCCTCTTTTGACACCAACCATCCCTTCCACAGCACTCTCTGCTTCACATTTGGGCTCAACTCCATTGCAGTGGCCACATCGAACTCATAACAATACTCATTATGACGTTTATTAGGGAAGTGAACAGGTTACAATTCAGAATCAAAACCAACTCAGGATGCAGCAGTTTTCCAGTCAGGAATGTCTATTTTTTTTTCTTTGCCAATGCAGACATGCCTCTTACTCTTGTCTTTGGCTTCTCAGTTATGTGGCTCCTTGGCCTCCACCCTGTTTGTTACTCAGCTTTTCTCAGTCCACGGGCCTACAGCCCATGGCTGCTCTGTCTCTCCATGCCACCGCCTCTGCCGTCACATCTGCTGTTGCCACTTTTCTAGGTAAGGATCTCATGTTCCATTCATGCTCTCCCTTCTTGATGGTCCTGGGGTTGTCTGTTCCTGCTTCTGAGATGGATCCTTTTAAAACTAGTGTGATAGTAAAAAACTAACCAATCCCAAATGGGAATTCCTGTATACTTTATGTGCATGTTCCTACCCAATCACTTGGTGGGAATTAAGAAGACACTGGATAGAACAATCATATCAAGTATATTCAAGATACTACCGGGGTCTTCTTTTCCGTTGACCCTCCACTTTACCTAGCATGATGTCCTACTCCAGGGACTGGTCCCTCCTGATAATATGTGCGAAGTATGAAAGACAAAGTGTCATCATCCTGGCTTCTAAGGAGCATTCTGGCTTTACTTCCTCCATCACAGATTTCTTTGATCATGTAGCAGTCTATGGTATTTTAATATTTTTCTCCAACACCGTAATTCAAATGCATCAATTCTTCATGGACTGCTTTATTCATTGTCCAACTTTCCCGTGCATATGAGGTGATTGAAAGTAATATAACTTGAGTCAGGCACACTTTAGTCCTCAAACTGATACGTTTGTTCCTCATCACTTTAAAGAGGTTTTGAGCAGCAGATTTGCCTAATATAATTTGTCTTTTGATTTCTTG